ACCTTACACACGGTGGAAGTTAAAGTATCAGCATATGCGGACAATGTTGCCGTTTTTTGCAGTGATAAAGAAAGCATAGAGGAAACTGTGAGGATCACAAATGGGTATTGTGATGCCACAGGAGCCGCGGTCAACTGGGGGAAGTGTTGCGGGTTCTGGCACGGCAACTGGACCTCAAAGCCATTGTCTTTTGGAAGAATTGGCTGGACAAGCACTCCAACCACCTATCTCGGGGTGCCGTTACAACACTACAGGGACAGCACACCCTATTGGACCGAAGTTTTGGAGGATTTAAAAACAAAGACCGCCACGTGGGTTACTCGGGATATATCTTTTACCCGTGCCACGGTATGCAACATCTTCCTCATAGCGAAGCTATGGTACGTTTTACAGGTTCTGGCATGTAAACACATAAGCATCCAAAAGTTTCATAGAGTTTTTGCCACTTTTATATGGAAATCCAGCTGGGAGAGGATGCGAAGAGACAACCCCTTTCGCCGCGTCAAGACCGGGGAACTGGGACTCACGCACTTGTACGTTCGACAACTAGTTTCACGTTTCTGTTTTCTGCGTGATCAGAACCACCCGTTTCTGCGCACTGTTATCCAGATGAAACTAGCTAATTCCCTGCCCGCCATGTTAGTTACCGGAGGTTTACCTCCGGTAACTAACATGGCGGGCAGGGAATTAGCTAGAATTAGACTCGGAGGTTTACCGCAACCTTAACTAACATGGCGGGCAGGGAATTAGCTAGAATTAGACTCGGAGGTTTACCGCAACCAGTGATTGCGGTAAACCTCCGAGTCTGGTCGGATTTTTGAAAGAAGTGAAGGATGCTGCCTTATTTTTACAATCGCGATTTTCTCTGGAATACCTTAACAGCGTCAAAAAAAAGAAAAAAAAAGTTGTCAAGGGATTTAGTTGAAATTCTTTTTCCCACGCCCCTGTATCGCCCAGTTTTTAGCCATTGTCCTGGACAAGATCTGTTGTGTCGCGTCAAAAAGATGGCTGTCCCGCCCGTTGTCAAATCATTTTTCTTTAAACTTCATAGCGGTACGTTGCCTGTCAAACCATGGTTGGAAAAAAGGGTCTTTTTGTTCCTTGGTCGATTGATTGTCTCCTCTGCAAGACGTCAGAAACGATAGAGCACATTTTCATTTATTGTTGGGACGCGGTCTTCTTTTGGAACATACCGCAGAGAACGCTGAAAAAGGACACGTGTTCTTTTCTTTTCGTCACTCGCCCGTGAACAAGGGACCGAACTGGTCCCGAAACGTCGGGTAAATGTTTATTAAACTTTTGGTTAGAGTCACTATTTTTCGCCTCATATAACGCACGAAACAATTCGTTTCCTTCCAGTCGATAAAGGGGACACGGTCCCCTATGATATGTTTATAATCCTGGGTCTGTTTAGTCTATGGGAAACCCGAATGGAACTGCGTCATGCAGACCTGCACGTTAAACAGGCACGTTTTCATTTGATTGATGTGGTAACTCAGGTCCAGTCTGTGTACTGCAGGACTCCTGACACAGCGCCTGACTGGGCACACTTGTTTGAATCGTGTAAAAATATGAAGGACTTTTAGTTAGCCCATGAGTTTTTGGGCGGTTTGTATGAATGGCATTTGTATGTTGCACATTGAGTCCAATAAAGAAAAAAAAAAAGATAAGCATAACTGCGATGCTTACCTTGTGGTTGCCGCTTCACTGCTGTACAGAAGAGCGTGGTGAGAAGCTCGCTCAACAAAGCTAACTTACACACCAAAGCAGACTAGGAACATAAGAGACTACGAAAATTCCGAGCAATGCCAGTGTTTGACACTGACAGAGATATTAAATAGGATAGTATGTTATTTGCGGCTAAAATAGAGTTTTGAAAACTTGCACGAGCCTACCATAACGATCCAGACGTGTAGTGGGGCCTGGGCCATCAGTAGAATAAAATTTTGAGGCAATATTGGCGCAAGTCCCTCACATTCGGGCTAAATGTAGCAAGATGCAGCAGAGTAAGCCCTTTGACACAGTTTGGCGCAAATGGCGCAGCAATCACATCACTGGATTGACAGCTGCACGGGAACTACCGTGACTAGCATATTTACTCAAATATATATAGACCCGTGTTTTCTTCTATCTGCGGTTTCTTTTTTAATTAGAGATTTAACTCACAATTAGGGCAAAGAAGGTCGACCTGTAATAATCCTGAGCATAATTTGTATGCCTGTCATGCTAAGCCAGGTGCTCCCCTCAGTCAGCTGCTGCTCCTAGCACTCCGGTGCAAAGCGGTAAAGCTCCATGCGCTCATGCTGGTGAAAGGCGATGAAGGCGCTCATACTGGTGAAAGGCGATGAAGGTTTTGAACCGAGCGGCGCAAGTGCCAAGGTATACTCTGCAGCCATGGAACAAAGGCGCGTGCCAGACATGATAATCAATTGATCTTATCAGGGGTACAAGACCCTGGTTCTGTTTTATCCCAGTAGCCACAATGTGCAATCCTGCTAATTTGCAAAGTTTTCTCGGGACTGTTGGTTCTTGCCACCGACAGGAAATCTAGACGATGTCGGCGATCAACCGGCCAGAGTGGTTGATGTCCAGTATCAACGGCTCTGGCCGGTTGATTCACAGCACCAATGTGCGACATCATGGCATTAGTAATCTCCTTGTACGTACGTGTTCTTTCAAAGGCTAAACCAAATCAAGCGCAGTGAATGTCCCATGGCTTGCGCTTTTAGTGTGTTCTAGCCCGCGACTGTGCACTGGCCTAAGACGAAACAAACTATATGGTGAATAGAGATCCTGTGAAATTCATATTTGTACACTTTTTCTTCCCTTCTATTTCCCAAAATATTAGGGTCGGCTAATTTTTTTTTTTTTTTGCGTTACGTCTGTCTCGGCGCAAGTGTGGCGCCATTCCTAGCATAAACGTTTTTATGCAAGATGTAGCACTTTAGTTCTTGGCACAATTTGGCACAGCACTTCCACCACTGCACAAATTATTCAAACCAGAGCTCGGCGTTCCGACATGCCGTCACACTCTCGTCTCTTGCTCTCCCGTTTCTCGGCGCATAGGTTTACGTTGTTTAGTTGACTTATTTGAATAGACCCAAAAATCTTTGTGGAAGCAATAAGCTATGTTAAGATTAAAATTAAATTAACTCCAACACTTGAATGAAAGCTTGGGAATAGCATTAATTCAGCCATATTTTTAAGGCATAGTTATTGTCCAAATACATTTTCCATCATCACAAATCTCTATCTGTGCATAAAAAGAACTATATTTGCAACCTAAACATGTTTTGCAATAATGCTAAGTGCATGCATAGATATGGAAAGGCAAAATAATGTCTCTTGGTTGGAAGGACCAGAATGTGAATCTTAATAACATGGTATCCACAGTGGAATGAATGAGAATGAAGAATATGGTTCTACTCCAAAATGGCCAAAACCAATCACACCACAGGTCATATCAAACCGCATCTGTGCCAGAGGTCCTGCTCCCTGTGATGAAAGCACACAACTATTGCTTTGCTAGAAGGAAGTGTGAAACTCACTGTCAAAATGGAACACTGTTCGAATGACACTGCAAAAAGCTTAGATTCTTAAGTGCACCTCCATGATTAAAAGAATACATAACGGCGTATCCCAGCTGCACGCTTTGCAGGATCGTTGGCACAAAGATGCGCTTCGATAGAAAACCGAAACCACAAAATGTCTAAACAGTTTTTTAGAACGCTGCCAAATGCCTGCACGTGTCTCCATCTTTCTAAACTGGGCTGATAGAGTAATTTGCAATAATGCCCAAATTTAGCGACAAAGTAAATTACAAAAAAAAAAAAATTAACTTACAAATGTTATTATTTTTCTGTATAGGGACCACATCACTCTTTTTACAGTGATGCATAGTTTTCAGTGCAACGATTTGGCCGACATTCTGCAAAACATTCAGTAGAGAGAAAATAAATGTTACGAGTAAAAGAACAAACTCTTTTAGCCTGCTGAATTTGAGATGGAAATCACCCAAATGAATTTGCTTAATCCTCAGTATCCACTAATAGTATTGAGGCAAATGGTATTTCCTGTATTAGTACTTCAAACACCTGTACACGCACTGCCAAGTTACACTAAAGGTTTCATTTTCTTATTCACATTTTCACCATATGTAAAACAAACAGTCAAACCCGACTATATCGAACCCGTTTACATAAAGCTATCCCTTATATCGAACACGTTTTGTGGACAGTGATGTTACAGTGATAATATATAGCAAAATCTACAGTTACATCGAACAAAAATAGCAACCGCTATCAATATATCGAACTGCCAAGAGCGCAGTTTTGTTCTGCAAGCTGTCATTCCCCCAACGCAAGCGGCCGCATTGGGGGAAAGCCAGCTTGCATATCACGCTAACCTTTTTTTTCCGTGCTTCCTCTCCATCCGCAGAAAAGATTATTTTTTTCTTCCAGGCGGTGACGCAACCGCCTAAAAAAAAAAAAAAAAAAAAAAAAAAAAAAGCTAGTTTGCTCTGCTAGCTGACTTTCCCCCAACGCAGCAGGTTGCCTTAGGGGAAAACCAACTTGCAGAGCAAAACGGCGCTCTGCACGTGTTTCTGCTCCAACGTGCTCCGTGCTCTCGGCATAGTTCGGCGTTAATACAGAAGGCAGCGGCCTCAGCATTTTGTAAAGTCCGTCAATAGCGAAGAAAAACATCGTTATCGCGGATGCAATGAAGTAAAAGCAGCAGAAAATGCAAAACTATTTCATTGTGTTACATGTCAGCAAAAAGTGGATTTTTAAGCGATATTCATTAACTTTTATATCGAATTACCCGCTATATCGAACTGGTAGACGTTTTTTGCGAGCTCGATATAATCGGGTTTGACTTATCATAGGCTGACAACCACCATAATATTCACCACTTTGTGCAGTTTCTTTTTCTTTGCCAAAATTACGCTACAACTGCTTTCAGTGCACTTTTCTAAGAACTAGGAGACCACAGAGACGGCGTAAGGATGCAATAGACTTTATTCATAAATCTCTCAATTTTTCTTTTGACGCGTGTGCTAACACTACGAAAAACAAAACATTTGCTCGCTAGAAAGTGATGCAACACCAGTCATTTATACAAGCACCTCAACTTCGTAGAAGCCAAACACTTTTCTGAGCAAAAATCCGTTCCGCCTACCTTAAAGTGGAGAAAAAAAAAACAGAAAAAATAATAACTTTTTTAAGCAATGCCAGTCTCCGTAAAAACACCGGAAAACTGTGTCGGAGCTAACACAGTCAACGGCTCGCTCGTCAAGGATGCTCTCTGGAAGGAAAGAATCTCGTGTATGTCGACTGAACACATGGGGGAACTCTTGGCCTCGTTTCGCTTTTCGTATGTCCTCCTTTTGCATAGTTCCTCGAGACACGATTCCACTTAAGCGAGAAAGAAACACCGCATCGTCACCTATGGTTGGGGACAGCCTAAGGCAGCGGGACAAGCTTGTCCCACAAACCCCTCTTTCCACTTCCACAAAGCAAATGCTGGAGAGGAGGCAAGGACGAACTGCCCTCTTCTCCGGTGTTTGCTCTGCTGAAATGGAAAGAGTGGAAGGCTTCGCAAGAGGAACTAGTCCCGCTCTCCTAACTCGTCACCGACTATGATGCAGCAAGGTTGTGTTAATGAACTTGCACGCAAAGGAGCGAATTTTGCGCAGTGCAATAACAATCTGGCTGCATTCATCAAAACCGAATTTTGAGAGAAAAAAAAAAAAAAAGCTGGCCAGTGGGCAATGTCTAAGCAAACACAGTGTCAATTCCTGGGGCAACGTCTGTGAGTACTTTCTTTCCAGCTCGCACGCACACTGGTCCTGCAGTGTTTCCTGCCTAGTTCCCGCCAAACCAAGCACCTTTTCCTCGCACCTAGTGGCGACTTCGTCGAGGATAAATTGTACCGACAAGTCCTTTCCCCCTTGCTCTCTTAAAAGAAACGAGGGACGGAGACCTTTCCTTTTTTTCCTTAAAAATGGGAGTATACTTAAAAAAAATATAACAACAACGAAAAACGAGTGTCCCGCCGTACACCAAGTCTTTCTCCTAAAGTATGGCACCTGGCCAGACTCGTAGTTATATGTACAATTCATAGAGCTTTTTTTGTAGCATTCTCAAACTGAAAACAGATCCGTCCGTCCGCCTTCGACGGAAGGCGTCGCCGTAATAAGTGGATACGTCAACTCTTGCCGGTAGGGCGCAGACCGAAACAAAAGACGAGCAAAGATCCTAGTTTGGGAGGGCTCGGAAGACTGCAGCGAATGAGCGCTGTCAACGAGTACCATCAGTGATGCACGTTGGTGACCGCCATCAATGACTGTCTCTCAATAACAATCCTCAGTCTCTGCTAAAAAAAAAAAAAAAAAGAAAAAAGAAAAAGAGAGACAACAAACTTAGCCACGCTGTCCCAGAATGCACAGCATCGATCCAAAGGACTTAAGGCACATGAAGTTTCTTTCCGCAACGCGTGAAACAGACCCGAAAAACGAGAAACATTAGCGGAAGAAAAGAGAACAGGAGGGAGTGGAATAATAATAAAAAAACAAAAAGAAATGACGCTCATGGTTGTCTGCATTCACAATGACTTTCACCAGGAAATTGCTTTGTAAAACGAGTACAGAAACCCTGACGCAAGGGGGCGGCTCAGCGGGCCCAGCGTCAAACAAACATCGCTCTAAAAAAAAAAAAAAAAGCGAGTAGCAGGAAAACAAAAAAAAAATAAAGAAAAGCAAATGACATGATGTGCTTCGTTGCACGTGTGTGTGTTTGTGTGTACGCGCGACCATGACGCTTCCGCCGCCTTTCCGTGCTGTTGCGGGGCGTCCGGTGCAGTTTTCCACCGGCAAACGAGGAAAAAGAGGGAAAGGAAGAAATAAAAAAAAAAATAAAACCACGAAATAAAGAAGAGAAGATGTAAAACTGATGAAAGAAGACGCCGTCTCTGAGCTGGGGTCATTGGCACTGCACACAGCTGTCAGCTCACAGCAGCACCTAAAATGGTGGCATCCCATCTGCAAAGAGAAACGACGGGCCCGGATGTATCAAACCCTAAGTTTGATTGGGGACAACAAAAAGAAAAGACAAGGAAAAAAAACAACAACAATCAGTGTCATATATGATACGTAGGATCCTTCGTTTTCGGGTAAAGCCCAATATCTCCCAGTATTTATACCCTGTGTTTCTTGGAAATCAGGTTAAAAACCAATTTTCTCCCCAAATTGAGAAATTGGATTTCACCATTTTTCAAATTCCTCTGCTCCAGAAATATTTTCTAGAAGCAAAACGTTGGTAGGAACATGTGCATTACCTCCAGACCTCAGAGGCAGGCCTACATTGTTTTGACTTCAGTGAACTGAACTGACATAAATCAAACCCCAAAATGTCACTTTTATGCCTTCTGTGAAGTATCTTTTGCCCTTCCTTCCTATCCGTTTTAAACAGTGAGAAAACGCAAATAATAAATAAGATAAGGATAAAAATCTTGCCTCAAAATTAATTTTTTCAACAGGAAGAGAAAATAAGATTTTTATCCTTAAAGGGGCGGTGCAACGATTTCATGATTAAAAGAATTTGGATCTCGTCATTTTTAGGTTGTTTATCGTGTCCCGGAGGATAGAGAAAGCATCTCCTTCATTAAAAATGTTGCGATACCGCTGCATAATCGCAAAGCAAAAGTCGAGCTTTTTCCCCCACCTGCAGCCCCAAGTGCCAGCTGAAGGAACTACGGCTAGAAGATTACGTGACCTCGCTCGGCTCTAAGCTGCAGCATAACGCCCGCTAATGTCAGCAGAGAGAGGGAGGGGAAGCGTCCTCCGAGATAGCACACGGGAACCTACACGGCACTCCAAATGATGTCACTAGGAGGGGGACCAGGTGTGACCCTGGTCCGCCTCCTAGTGGGAGTGAGTTGAGGGGTGCCTGAAATGCCAATCTTTATCTTTTTTTTAGGCAACAACTAGGACACGCAGGTGAAATCGGTTTTTTGTTCTTTACTTCAGAAGTGTCAGAGGGCAGCTTCCAGAAATCTTTGACCGAAGTACGGAAATCGTTGCACCCCCCTTTAACTTTTCTCTTATTTATTATTTATGTTTTCTCACAGTTTAAAACGGATAGGAAAGAACTTTCCTATCCATTTCAAACTTTCCGTAACGTAGCATTTTAACTATATTAACTTTTAGCCTTTAATGCGAATGCATTAAAGTTTAAAGTGCTTTTGCATTAACAATCCCATGGAGCGGAGCCAGCGGCATCTCTAACCGCAAAAAAATGTGAATGAAATGCCCATTCTCCCATTGGCTGAGCAAAACGGCTCCTAGATAGCCATTGGCGGCCGCTTCAGGAGAGCACGCGCTCGGCCGCTGGCCGCTACCTCGGCAGTAGCGAACAAGGCCATCCGCACCAGTACACCGCAGACGAGCTAAGGGAGCAGAAGAACGACATTCATGCTTTCGCAATCACAACTCATAAGAAGTGTTTAGGTGTCCTCCGAATTTTTATTGTTAATTATACTTCTATATTTCTAATAACCAAGGGCACCACATATATGTTAACAAAAAGTAATGAATCACAATTACCATAGTTACAAAAGGAACCAATTAAATCTTAATAAACAAGACCCATGAATTGCCTTTCTTGCAGAGTGCACCTACAGTCAATCGTCACATTCTACGTAAGGAACGTAGCAAATAACAAGGTCGTTTCGGCGAAAATGTGATCTACGCAGAAAGCATTTTCGTGTGAGGAGGTTATCTCTGTCCTGTAAGTTGCTGGGCTTCTTCTGTCTAATGCGACAATTGGTTATCCATGAGCTCTGTGGGAGAGTGCACGTTTTGTTCATAAGAAGTGCGTTGATTGCTCAGTAAATGTAGTACTACACTATCAATTCAAAAGAACATGATTACTTTATAACAGAAGTTATTTATCAGCAAGCTTTGTTGGATTAAATATATGTGTTTCACGTCTTCTGCAGTGTTCTTGTCCACCTTCAAGGCTGCTGTCGCTGTATTTTTTTCTCTCTCGCTTTGATCAAACTAGCGCTTACATAAAATGTCTTTGCCGATCTATTGACGTCGTTATAACGAGGGACTACCTTAATTATAAAACTTAATTAAAACCAGCTGCTTCTTCATCTATTTAGTAAGGTCGTCCGATTACTGCAACCTCACAACCTGCCAGTTTAGTTTAAATCTTTTTTTAGCACGAGCAGAAAATCTAGTTACCAGTTTTTAACATTTTTTTCTTTCGGTATGAGGCTGCTAAGATTGTTCTTCTTTATATACAAGAAAAAGTTTATTCACAGCTACAGAAGTTCTTCAGCCCTAACAGTGGCAAAAGTGCAATATAGTTCACCACGAAGACTAATGATTACTAACAGCAGCCATACCTGACTTCTCTAAGCAAAGAGTAACCAGAACAGGCAAAAAACTGCAAACCAATCTTTAGTAACTCGATCGACAGTGTAAAGCACACATTGTTCAAGCCCAACAGGAATAACATACACATAGCATGCACATTTTTGTTACCCAAACTGCAAAGAGAGCTCCTCACCCGATCCTCCAAGAGCATGTTCCGTGACACTCAGGCACAGGGACTCCAGTCTGTTGTTGATTTCAGGATCGTTCGCAGAGTTGTCTGCAGCGCGGCCTGCAACAAGCAGGCCACATCGGTCAGCGCCATTTCTAAGCACCGAGGCCCAATCGCCCGGAACTCTCTCCCTAACAAACTTCTCCTTGCTTGTATTGCTCCCAACAAAGTACCTGACACAAAACATAGATGACACCGTCCGTCTTATTTTAACCGTCTATTCTTTAGCCTTCACCCTCTTGCCCGTGACTGCGACGAAAAAAAGAGAGAAGAGGACAGGATGCAAGTAACAGCCTGCTAAACACTCCGTGCAGCCAACACATACTCTGGGTGCATCGAGGGCTAACGCTATATTTCAAAACCCAGGTAACCACCCAGACGAAACATCTACTGTCGTAGAGACAAGCAGCAAGTACCGCATTACAATGGACCCTCGACGTGCGCTCTGCACCGAGAGACGGCGGAAAGTGGAGAGGGGGCGGCACAGACCTGCAGCTGCCGCGGCGGCGACCTGCTGCTTGTAGAGGGAAGCGGCGGCCACCACCGGACTCGGACGCACAGGGGCTGAGTGGGTCCTCTGGATCTGGATGTGCGGCTTGTTCAGGTGCTGGGGGACATGGAGGGCAGAGAGACTCAGGACGACACCCACCGAGAAACAAGCGTCGCCTCGCCGTTACGAGAGAGCCCGGAATGTGCCTTCGATCCGTGCGTTTACCGTCCCGCAACGGCCGTGCATCAGAGGTGGCCCCGAGGCGGTAACAAATTACCGTAGAACCTCGTCGATACGTTTTCCGCAAGACCAGAGAAATAAAACATACAATCCGTGAAAACGTATGGAACGACACCGCCATTCGGGGGGACGCAAGAGACGAGAAGGGTAGAAACCGTTACGCAACAATTTGTTTTACGCAAACATTCATAGATGTGAATGAACTCAAACTCAAACTGGCTAATAATAAAAACCGTGTGAACATTCATAGGTATAAATTGGAACAACCGTACTGCAAAAGTTTGTAGGCGTGATCTCAAACAGGTCCAGAAAAAGTTTGCAAATATTCGTCGGTGCGAAGTCGAACGTGTCTGGAAAAAGCTTGTGATTTCCACCCGGCGCTTTGGGTGGCTGAAACATGGGCGAGCGACGGAGTCCTGGGCGTTTGCCAATGCCCTCGTCCCCGTGCAGCCGTGCGCAACAGCGGACACATATGGAGCATTGTTTCCTTTAGTCCGTTTGCTCGTTCAATTTGTCGCGCGCTTGTTGGTTTCACACGTAGAGGAAGCTGCAGTAAGTGTTCCCGGCTGACACACGGCAGCTTCTGGTACTCCTTTAAGTCCGTGTCAAGAAGCTTCCGTCGAAATTCGTCGAACCCGCTGTGTTCTGTCCTGCACATCCATCCGGCCTCTCATCTGACAAGACAGAGACCCAACAAGGTCGGGAAGGGCCTTTTTGCGCCTGTGGCATGTCAAAGTGTTGCGCGCAAGTACACGGTGATGAGGACACGGCCAAACGCTCCTTTGCAAGCCCAGAACTCTGTCACTTCTACGCCGACCCTTGTCGAGCAGGACCACATTTGTGCTGTGCCTTGGATCAGTAAAGTTAATGGCACTTTGAGCTAAGCCTTTCACTGTGCTCCGTCTCACGCAACACGTAACAACGGCGCTAGACGATTATTTTTCGTATTAACGCGATTGTACTGCGACCATAGCAACCAACGTCTCGTTAGCTCTTGGACGTCAGTGACACTGCGCAGTCGTTATCCACGGACGTTTTGTCATGTGATCAATCCATCCTCGAATCGGCCGGTGGCTTTTTGGACGTAAGAACCGGGAAAGCCAATGCACTAAACACGAAATTAATACATACAGGGTGTCTGTCACAAAAGAAAATTTACATGGTTTTTTTTAACCGCAAAAATAAAATAGGCATCGCCGAACGCTCATTATTCGCCCAAAGGTAGCGCTAGAGGTCACAACCAGATGCCAAAGTTTCAGCCCGATCCGATAACTTAATCAGAAGTTAGAAGTGATTTTCTGAAAATTTCAATAGGAAAATGGAGCCCAGTTTTGCCTGTTTTCGGTTTCTGGTGCCATAGAGCCCCATGTGTTTGAAAACACCGTCGACCGCCATTTTTCCATTGAAGTTTTCAGAAAATCACTTATAACTTTTGATTAAGTTATCGGATCGGGCTGAAACTTTGGAATCTGGTTGTGACCTCTAGCGCTACGTTTGGGCGGAGAATGAGTGTTCGGCGATGCCTAGTTTATTTTTGCGGTAAAAAAGACAGTGTAAATTTTCTTTTGTGACACCCTGTATTTTCTTATGAGAGCTAGGCGGGACCGGCGCCTTCAAACAAAAAAGCAGGGAAAAACGCAAAAAGCCAGGAACACATCGACAAATTCCACTGCATGTCACTAACAGTAAAAGCTCAGGCAAAAAAGACGATAGAATGTGAGTGCAGCTATCGTCACGGCGTGCCAACCTGGCTCTAGAAGCTTCGGTGGACTGTCAAGCAAAAAGGCGACCTACGGCAGAAAGGGCACCCGATGTACCCAACTCTGCTGCTGCACCACCGTCGACATCGTGGCGAACAACAGTAAGACAGAAGTGCGCGACCGTGAGGCGGAAATTGAGGGATCACAAATGAGGACGTGACAAGCACACTGGTCAGAGATGCGCTCCAGACACCATATTACTGCCTCCGCCCGATTCGAACACAATGCCTTTCCTACAGTACCTGGCTCTACAAGAAGTGATCTTTAGTGTCGCGTGTACACTCCGAGCTCACGGGACACCGAGGTGTTACCGAAGGTAGGAAGCTGGGGTGAGGGGCGGCGACAACTTGGGGACCTCCCTGCTGTTCTCATCTTGTTGACGATTAGTTTCCCGTTCGGCACCTTGCATCTCCTCAAGACGGAGGCCTCAAAGCGCGGGAGCATGCACGCTCGGGAGATCGGACACAAGGCGGCTCGGTGAAAGGAACTTCTCAACAACAGTGGTCGCAGCCCCGCCAAAAAGTGTGGGAATTTGTGAGTGAGACCTTCCCGACCAAACTCGACTACTGACTGTATATCATGTGGCATATCTTTAACATTCAATTTCTCTGTTTTATAAATACCACCTTTTTTTATCTTGCAACCACTGTCCCGGGATGCAGAGACTTGTTTCTCGCTTACCATCACACCTGTGCGCTCGGTCGTTTTGGCCGTGACCCCCCTCAGACCAACCCCGGCGTCTTTGCCCTCACCTCCTGGAGGCTGGGCCTCTTGATGACCATGGCCAGGGGGTTGCCTCCCCCTCCCACGTCCCCCCCGAAGAAGAGCCCCGCCAGCGGGGGCCTGCCCAGGGGGGCCCTGCCCACAGCCTGGGGGGGGACTGGCCCCCCCGGGTGGGCTCCCAAGGCCAGCGCCCGGCTGGGTCCAGGGGCCAGGCAGGAGGGCCCGCCCAGGGGACCCAGGGGGCCCCCAAAGTCCCCTCCGCCTACCAGCGGGGGAGGGGCACCGCACCACCTCCTGCGCAAGCGAGGAAAGAAAAGAGAAAAAACGATACTTGATTAACGTAGAAGTTTGGGCTAGTTGGTATGCAGACATAATTAAAAACATAATAGTGCTGTGCCCTGTCGATTACCTTTTATTTTGTCCTTGTCTTTGCATAGTTTTGTTTTTAGGAAAAAAAGAGTGCAAAACGATTGAGGCTACATGAAGCAATTGATGGTTGTGGACTTTGCTCCTTTTCTTTATTTTCTCAGCTGCGTTCCATGAGAAAATTGTCATGAAGAACCATCACAAAGAACCGTCATAAAAGAAAGTCATGAAGCGTGATGAAGGACCGTCACATCAACATCTCAGCGGAGAAATGGACGTCACGTGACCCCGTCACGCGACTTCAAATCATGTGATGTCAATTACCCTGCTAAATTTAATGGGGATATGGACGTCACATGACCACATCATTTGACTTCAAGACGTGACATCCATTTCCCGCTAAATTTAACGAGAAAATTGATGTCACATGACAAATTACGTGACATCAATTACCCCGCTAAATTTAACGACAAAACAGACGTCACATGACCATGCCATTTTACCTTAAGAAGTGACGTGATTTCTCCGCTAAATTTAGTGGGAAACTTATGTCAGATCGCGTGACCATGTCATCTGACCTCGGGTCATGCGGCGTCAATTTCTGCCAGGTGGTAGCTTGCGCCCAACATATTTTTTCATCCCCAGTTTTTGACAGCATGATCAAGCTTGTATAATTCTTTTCTGTACCCACCTGGTACCCTGCCAGCTGAAGCCAGCGTGATCTCCCCCAATCATGAAAATGCAACGTGTCACACGACCCCTTTCGGTACCGGACAGCCTGGTGCAATTTCTAGCATACCAAGTTACTGGGCGGCACGATTTCTAGGAAGTAAGATACCTTTTGTTGTTTTTGCTTAAAATCATGCCTAAAACAGGGGTAGCCAACCTTTTGGGGTTGGGTCATCTCTCAGGACATTACAGTATACATTTAAACAAATTCCCAAATGCAGATATTCAAAAGGTAGAGTGGCAAGCAGCATATACACCAATGCCGCACATGCGCGATGGGGGTGTGGGCAAGAAGCTCGCTGTCGCTCATAAACAAAACATTGACAATGAATGTTGTCAACGACAGTGTGAGTCCCTGTGCTTTTTTTTGCATTGGAGTTGTTGATTCTACGTCTTCCTGGCAATGTCCAACTACTTAAGCGGCCTCAGCGAAATTAACGACGCTTCTTACACCGCGAAACTTGGTGTGAATAATGTGACATGCAGCGATTCATTCAGCGTGGACGCTGCAGAATGGACGCTAAAGCCCGATTCACATGGTGAGGGTCCACTCGCTATTTTTAGTCATGACGTCGCTCGGGCTGCAAAAGCCTGAACCGTAGCTGCGATGTCGACGTCGATGCTGAAAATCGCAAGCAGAATCGGACCGAGTGAATCAGGCATAACAAGTCGGTGATGGCCACTGATAACAATTATCAACGTCTTTTATCTACCGTTTACACCGAGCCTACTTACTCGAAGCAACCTTTAAAAAAACCAAGCAACCTGTAACAACTCGAAGCAACCTTTTGAGGTCTGCACTTATCGCAATTACCATGTCAACGTTAGGTCTACGGGCCGCTGTCGTTTGAACGAGCAGACGACAGCTCGAATGATAAGGTGGCCGTTTGAACGTGAGGACCCACTGAATGTAGTCAGCAAGTGGCCCGTGCAACTTGATGGTTTTACGGCGTTCATGCTGGAAGAAAACAAATAAATCTGACGACCACAAGTATCCGTGAATTTAATCCAAAGTGCTTAGGTCGACGTCACAGCATCCGCGCAAGTTTCTATAAAAACTGCTGCGCGGTGCCTGTATTCATTGCTCGTGTGTCCCCTGCTAAAAAGTTCAGATTAGGCAATTTCTTGTCCCGATGAACAAACTTCATTTTGTTTTTAGCCGCCATGTGCTGTCCACGATAAACATTTTGGAGAAATGAATAAATGAACGTCATAGATTTCACAAATGTTTCATGTGTGGTATACGTGCTTATGATCAGTAGGCCTATAAAAAGGAAATCATCAAATATCTGCTTTGTATGTGTAGAGTCATATGGAAAACCACAATTTTATCTTGCATAATATTTAGATAAATTTCTGATAATTCAAGCAAAATTCGTGGCTTCCTGGAATTCGAAAAAATGAGTCTACTGCAGCATTCATTATTCAATGTCTCGAAAACTATTACATTCAAACTCGATTTGATCCAAAATCGCACTATTTGTGCACCTGTACGAACACGCAATTGCCAGAATTTTGTGTTTCTCTTTTAGAATCAAAATAACGCCATCAAAACCACCGGTGCAGTGAAAAGTGCTCATTTGGGGGACCACCCTAAGTGGTAGTTCTGGTGTCCACAAATGCCACTCCCAAGTGAAATGCAAAAATAACAACAAAAAGTAACAATGTCGTGTGCATGCTAACAGTGTTGCACAGTGTAAGCCTTACCCCAAAGGGTACTGTGGAGACTGTAGAAGAAGTGGTACCCCAAGTTTAGAGAAGAGACAAATGATTGCCACAGTGCGCCAGCAGGCCAAGAAGCAGCACAAAACGTCTCAAAGCCTCGCTGAGCTCCGACGACCGTCACGGTAAAAACCCGTTCACCCATCCGCCGCAGCGTTAACTCGGCAAGATAGACACAGTGCCGACGTTGCTCCATGTCAGCACTGTAACAGTATTCCATCGCGTGCAACACTGCCTTCTAATACATATACATATAATGCAGTGCTAACTAGGTGCTAAGCCAGCACCGACTTTTAGTCATCTTGGTGCAGAGATGTACGTGTGGACTGGCCTTAATTAATTTGTTGCAAGTGCACACTGCCAATGAAGTCCCACGAGCGACGTAGAGAGAGGTGGGCACTCACCCCCTCGCGTGCCTGGCATCCAGGGACCTCCGGGGAGGCAGGGGGTGCCACACCTTCTGCACCTGCTGCTTCCAAGAGAAGAGGCGCCGCTTCTGGGTCGGGCTGAACGCCTGCAACAAGCACGGCCGGGCATTGCCTGAGGTTTTCTCCATTCTGACCGGGCTCGATTCGTTCACTGACTCCCCTCAATTAAGAGACAGGATTCGAGCTCGTGCAACAGTCAATTGGGTGGCCAGCTGCGGGCCGTTCAGGTAAGCTCCCATATCGTGCGATTTTGCCACATATTTACAGCTCGTTTTGGTTTAGTTACGCTGTCTCATTCTAAAATATTGCCCACCCCATATTTTTCGTAGTTTTATTCTTTCGTCGTCGGTGGGCGATCGTTAGAACCTATTGGTCGCTGTAACAACTAAGCTCGAGGTACAGCACTTTGGATAGCCATTGGCCGCAGTGGTGCCCTCCTTCACCAGCCACACACGTATGGGGAGAAGAAGTAATCAATGCTTTGTCTGTTGGGTTTCCCTTTCTGTTTCTTTCGTGCTGTTGAATTTGTTGGCACTTCAGCGACCTTTTCCTTCCTCCGTTCCATTCACTTTCCAGCCGCCTTGTCAACAAAGTCAGTAGCACCACGGGTGAGCGCTATCTGTGATGGGCATGCTTTGTGATTACACTTGTTTGGATGGTTATAGTGTACCTAAATTTGAGCGTCTTTCCAACCGCTTGATTGGGGTCATGTGGTTTACGGGCCGCACTTGCAAAACACACAAATCGTCCGCAAGCGTCTCCAAGCTTTGCTTTGCCTCTTCTATCCTTTTCGCCACGTGGCAATGCACACACGCGCACAAGCAACCAAACCCATGTTGGAGGCGTTTGCCATTAAAATGCAAATGCCGTCTACGGTTAGAGTCGCCCTTAATTGCAGGCAGGGGGAAGGCGGTGCACTCACCTCGTGACTAAGGCACTTGTCGACCAGCATGAGGAACAGGTTTAGACAGTCGTCGTCCGTCCGGAGGGAGACCAAGATGTTGGTGCACACTAAAACCGGGACCAAGAGGAACCCGTGAGGCTGAGGTAAGGTGCCGGCAGAGGAACGGCAAGCCTCTTTGGTGCAGTTTAACGTTATGGAGTATTCCAATAACTGCCTTCTGTCTGCTGCCGTCTTTATCCACTGATCTGTGCAGTGCGTTCCGGTCATGCGCAATGGCTCTCTTCAGCGAATATCAGATGCCTTGCATGCGTCCGCGGCCTAGTGGCAGTTTTGGCCTGGGTCATGGATGCTGGGGGGTATTAGTCACTGAGAGGACGAAAACAGCAGGGAGGTCTCTCGGGTCGCGTTCCGAAATTTACTCGATCTCACTCTAGGGTAACTGCTCTGTACCTCGGCGTTTGAAGACCTACCCACGTCCAGCGTTGCTCTATCCGTCTTGTCACATGGCACAAAATGCTGGAGTAACTCAGATCCATTCGAGTAAGATTTGAAACGCAGCCTCGGTTGTCCTGCCTCCAACACAAGCCCGCTGCCTTCAATGGTGCTTCGGCAAGCGCAGCCAGAGCATGACGGAAAGCAGCGAGCACGTGCAGGAGGATGGGCATTTGAGAGAGACACTGTGTTATTTTCATCCCGTCAGTGACTATAGTATACCTGCTGGATCCAAAAATAATGCTCATTCTGCTCGATTACCATTCACCATCACCTCTACCCACTTTACAAATTCGTCTTTCAGAGTGAACATGTTGGAACGCACAAGGCGACCTAAACTTGCACGAACAAAGATTGCCGCTCGACGGCTGTGCTGTTGGATGTTGCGAGTACAAGCTGAAGGCCTTTGTTCTTGCTGACCACAGTGAAACTTCAGTCGGAAAAACTTCAATAAACTTCAAGAAAGATAGTGGAAGCTTACCCAAATGGGGCGAGTGCAAAAAGCCCTTTGTTATAGATTGAGGTAAAAATGAGGAATTCAAACAATATCTGCACTGGTCTTGGGACTTTTTTCCATATTTTTTTTGGCCATGCCCAATGAAACAGCACCAACTTATTCAGACTTTTGAGCTGATTTCAAATATCTGTTTTTTTTTTTAATTCGTAGGTTACTTCCTAGAATAATTATAATTAACCACTTTGTTTCCAAAAAACAATAGAGAAAAAGCCCTTTTTAAAGAAGAATGTTTTAACATATGATCAGATACATACCACAAATTATGAAGAAAGCAATGTTGGAAGCACTTTTTAGGTGAACCATTATTAGGTACTTTACAACACATTGAAGTTCAGTGCTGAATGTGTGGCTGCCAAGCAATAACACATTATTTCAGTTAAAAATTTTCCTACACCTATATTGAAAAATCTGCTTCCAACATTGCATGATTTGCACATTTAGCTACATAGCGCTAAAAGAATTGCGGTGGCTTAGCTCGGCTATTCCAGGATATACGTAGCGTAAGCTTATGCGCACAAAATGAGAGGCGCTATCAAGGGCTCCGGTGCAGCGTCACACTTCGCTACTGCGCAACGGAGGCGCACAGCTGGGCACGCGGTGGCGCCAGTGCGTCTGCCGCAGCTATGACGTCACTCCTCTGGAATGTGCAGACCGGCGAGGCAAGCGTGGCGGCGACAGCAGAGTGCGTGGCGGCGGCTTTGCGTGGCTCTCATAATGACCGTGCTCATTATGCCGAGTGCGCGGCGCCATGCTCATTATGCGGAGCTCCACCGCTGCCGCCGCATGCTCCGCATATTGAGCAAGGCTCATTATGAGGGCCACGCAAAACTGCTCAACCTCGGCTAGTGTAGCTAACACTACAAAAGTTATCCTTCTGTCTGCCTTAAATGATGAGATATCCCTCCTGAAAATTTGTAAGGAGTCCAAAATTTGTGTTTTGAGAAAGTTGTTTTAGCATTAGCTTAAGAGCAATTTTAGCCCACATATTGTATTTACTCGAGTAATAGCCGCACTGTTAGTGAAATTAACCTGAGGGATCACTTTTCCACGGAGCACGCAGACTGCCAAACACCGCGATCGACAGCATGATTCCAGCTGTTTACAGAACAGAGATGACGTTTTCGTACGAAGATACCATCTGTGAAGATTGAACTTGTATGGAAAATTGTGTTCTCTATCTGGTTATTTGCTATGTTACGTGCAACGCACAGATTGGCTGTATATCTGTGCTGTGGGAAAGTAGACACAAGGGCCTTGTTCATAAATAGCGTGGCTATTGCTCGAGTAAATACGGTAGATATTATAAAGTGATATTATGGCTCAAATACTAATCTTCAAAATAATAAACTTGGCAGATCAAAATAAAAATAGCTGCAAAAATTCAAGATCACCATTTTCCATATTTTTCTGGCTCCAAAAGCTCTTGTGTCCCTCTAAAGACATTATGCGATGCAGAGGAGGAATGTTGCTTAAAGGCATTACTTTAAAAGTGCCCGGAAACACAGAATTTCAATGCAAGCGAATCTGGTGGCTCGTCTGGGCGAGCGCAGTGGCGGTACCTTTTCCCACGAGCCTCGTGAAGAGACCCGGTAGGTCCTCCTCGGCCGCGTCCCCTCCGGGCTCCGCCGGGGTCCCGGTGCCTCCGGCCTCCCCCGCCGCGACTTTTGCCCCGCTCCCTTCCAGGGGACTCGAGGGGGGGCTGGGGCGGGAGGAGGAGTCCAGCGAGGAGGGGGGGCTCTCCTCCTCCTCCTCTTCCTCGGGGGAGGAGGAGGAGGAGAAGCTGCCCCCGCTGGGGGCCGAGGGGGCGGGACGCGGTGGGGGCCCCCCTTCCGCCGCCGCGGAAGGGGGGCAGCCGTCCCTGGGGTCGCCGCCCTCGCCGACACAGCTGGAGCACTTCATGGGGGTCTGCAGCATGGCCCTCAGCTCCACCAGGGCCGTGCGGATGTCCCCTTCCTCTTGAAGGTTCTGGGAGAGGGGGATGGAAGGCGGCGTCTTGGAAAGAGGAGGGGTCGCGGGACATACACTGCACAACACTGGTAGCGCGAAGACGACTCGGGGGACTTTTTTGTGATTTACTTTGAAAGGGTGGCGTCTTAATTTATCACTTTGGTTAGTATCCCAACTGAGTACCTTTTACCACTAGAGAAGTTTTGATGACAGCCCTTCAATACTGAGAGAAAAATTTGCTGCACAATTGGTCATCCTGCCATCCTCCTGCCAACGCGCTTACCATAAAAATCCGCATATACTACGAGGCTTTTTTTAAAAATATTGCCGTGTAAAACTTGCGGCTCATATTACACGCGGATTCTAACATTTTCAGCTTCGATGAGGCACAATCTTATGCAGCTTGACATAGTTTCGGTTTCGAAGCAATATGGCGTTCAAAACAGCTATCATCATCATTAAAATCACAATGTCTGACGCGCCACCATCCATCCACAAGCGCGAGATGCTTTGGCTTTTGCATCCCGGCAGAGGAACGCTATTTAAAGACTCTCTTGCGTAGCGTGCGCTAACGCAAGCGCTAAATTTAGCAATGGCATACGCTAAAATTGCGCACGTTATTCTAAAACTCTCCAATACTTGGCCGCCTTCAAAAGAAAAGTAATTTTGGTTGCGGAAGACGTTGGCGACAGTGCTGCCAGACAACAATCTGCCGTAAACCGCGGATGGAGACGACAAAAGCAAGCTCTGTTCGAGTGCAACGGAATGAGAAGAAGCATTAGAGGCCCAAAGAATGGCGTGTTCACCGAAGTCGAGGTAAATCTCAGCAACTTTGTAAATGAGCAACATGAACTGCATCTTGCCGTAAACATCAAGCTGCTGCAACAGAAGGCAAGAGAACTTTGGTGAGCTGACATTGGGTTGCTCACTTTATGTGCCGCGCCAGGTTTTCACTGCATTGGCGCATGCTCGTCGTTCACTTTTTCAAAAAGTGTGGGATTTCAAATGCGCTCGACGGCACGGAAGTTGAAGACGACTGACTACCTTTGGGAGGAGGCGTCGGACAAGGAGTCTGATGGAAGTGATGACAGTGATTAAGGTAAATTACGACACAAATACATATTTTTCTGAAAACTTCCTCGGTGGCATTTTACGCAGAAAATTTTCGCCATCCTTGAATGGTTTTGCATTATCCGCGGGTTTTTATGGTAAATGCGGTAGGTTTATAAGGTGGGTGGTGCTCTTAGTTAAGGTGGTGCCTAGGGCACAGCTTTGTATAGAAACAGATTACGCCACACAATCATATCTTTGTGAGGCTACAGGAACTTCCCCTCAGCTCCATCCAAATACAAAGCCTTTGCGCTCATTTTTTGGGGTCACCAAGAGAGCGGAAGTGCCCTTTCCTACCCTTTCACTCCTCGTTCCACATTCTTTCTAAACTACCCGTTTCTATTCCTGTCTTTATCGCCCTTTTCACCCCTCTCCACTCTGGACATTTCCTGACATCACCTGCTTCTGCTCCCCCCTTTCCTGCATGCTGGGTCCGGAGCTCAGTCAGCAGCAAGCTTGGCTTCTAGGCCAGTGACCTGGGTTTGGTCCCAGGCACCAGTTGTAATTTTTTAGAGCGCAGCTCTTAGGGGCCCGTTCCCGGCTTGAGCGGCGTCGCCGTAACCAAGGTCATCCCAAGGTCACGTGACCCCCAAGGTCACGTGACCCCTCCAGATCACGTGACCCCTCCCAAGTTCATCTCAAGGTCACGTGACCCCACGTGACTCCCAAGGTCACGTGACCCCTCGAGGTCACGTGACCCCTCCCAAGGTCATCTCAAGGTCACGTGACCCCAAGACCCCACGTGACCCTTTGAAGGTCACGTGACCCCTCTGAGGTCACGTGACCCCCGAGGTCACGTGGTCTCCTCCCCAAGGTCACGTGACCCCTCCCAAGGTCATCTCAAGGTCACGTGACCCCAAGGTGACCCCCAGGTCACGTGACCCCTCTGAGGTCACGTGACCCTCCGAGGTCACGTGACCCCCCTCCCCGAAGTCACGTGACACCCCCCCCCCCCCCCCCCGAGGTCACGTGACCGCCCCCCCGGAGCATATTAAAGAATGAGGGGAGGAGGAGGGGTCTACCCTCCCCTCAGTACCCTTCACTCCTCCTCCTCAAGAGCTGCGCTCCAATTCGGCGTTACAGGGATTTGTAAACGGCTTCCACTTTTTTTCAAGATTGTTTAGCGATTGCGGTCTAACTGACCTGTACCTTTCGTGCTTATGCGGCTGCTGAGGTTGCTTGACCCTATAAAGCTATTGTTTTAAAAAACTCAACAGTTTACTTCATGGTGCCACAAGCAGTTTCTGCATCAGAGGCGATTGGCCACTCAGTATGGAAAGCAACATGATCGTTCCTAGGCACAACAACTTAAGCAAAGTTATGGTTGGAAAGAGGACTACAGATCACGACACATTTCTTGGCATCAATATATTTGATGGACAAAACACCTCGTAGGGCTAGGTAATGCCAAAAACCAAATTTTCTTGGCCGTACACGCCACATGGCCGTGCTTGCTTTCCTGATTTCCGTGAAAACAACGCCATGATGCGCATGCCCGAAGCCAGGCTGGCTTGGCTGGGCCTGTCTTGGTTAATTTGGCTTGGCCGGCTGACAGCTTAATCACGAGCTGCGCTCCCCCCTTTTTCACGATTGTACACAAAGTAATCAAAGACTATAAAATGTGCAGTGGTGAGACTTGAGCTGGGTCAGCATAATCGTGAGGCTTTTCCATGCTCCCAGTATTGCTGCACTTCTCGAGCACAAACAAAAAAATCCTTCAAATTAACCAGTCTTAGAAGTTAAACTCCGAATTACTGCGCAATTTTTCCCATAGACTTGCTTCTCTAATTACTGGGACCGCAGCACTGCTTTAAACGAACCGAAAAATGGAATAAATGAACTTTGAATTGTCGAGCGTCGAATGTATGACAAATTAGCAAGCTTTTAGCACCGAGTTAGGGTGGTCAAACATCACACATTGTCACGGCAAAGAGCAAGAGGAGAAATGAATGAGGAAAGGAAACAGTATACGAGAGAACAGTACCTGGACCACTAAATGACAGCTGCAAAGACCGAGTACCAGGGAAGATTGGGGAACAATTTTTGAAGTCTCGGTAAGGTAATGTTACCAGCGAAAGACAAGAAGGAAAATGCCAGAACGCACCTTCTCGAGCAGGCGTAAGGTGTCGGGCCTCTCCTTGAGCTTGCGTATGCTCAGCACGATCTTGTGACGGGCCCCCTTGGTGACATTCTTCGGCAGCACGACCCCGGGAAAGAACAAAGGCAAAAGACTATCAGCTCGCAAAACCCCACGCAGAACACGGGCTCGCCGCGACCAGGCTGCTTCAGCAGGGAATTCAGTGCCCCCCCCCCCCCCCAAAATGTCAAGGCAAACAGCCGTCGTTTAATGAAAAGGCGAGATTTGGGAAAGCTGTTGTAGGGTGGTATCAAATTTCCTAGATATCACAAAAAAAAAAAAATTGATCCAGTAAAAATTTATTTAGAATTTTACAAAGAATATTGTTAAAAAAGTGCTGACAGGTCAAAATATTTTTTTTTTATTATTTGAAACAATTAAAAACAATGCCTGGAGATTAATTACCCTCAAAATTCGAAACTTAAGACCTCAGTATTTCTGAAGCAAAAAAAAAAAAAAAAAATTTCCAAAAGCCAAATTTAAAGTGTCCATGTGGATCGCGCCAGTGAAGCGACGTCAAAGATTGAGTTGTCTTGCAACTAAAGGTTTCTCTCACGCTTCCGTGTCGTGTTCGCCCGCGTCCCGCAATCAACCGCTTCATGCGTCCCGCCTATCGCCGTGAGCAAACGACACTTCACTTTCGAGTTTCAAGTTCTTTTAGGGCTCTTTCAGCAATCTCAAATTCTTTGATTTTAGAGCTCTTACAGCAATCTCAAATTCTTTGATTTTAGAGCTCTTACAGCGATCTCAAATTCTCTGAAACAGTGCGAGGTCGAAAAGACTGTGCAATGGACTTTTGTAAGCGACGTGAGGGGCTACGTCACGCTGGTTCCGCGTACCAAAGGCTGCCCTGGCGAAGTAACAACCGAAACTATGGTACACATTTGTTTTGACCATTTGACGATTTCCTTTTCGAAGTCCAAGAGGTCGTCGGGCACCACTGTCCGATTCCCTGATCATCCTCAGTACTACATGCGCCGAGCGCCGCCATGTTTTTTGAGCCAGAATAAAAAGTCAGGAGGCGACATCAGTCTGGACTCCGATTTTCAGTATTTCCAGCATTTGCAGTTGCATTAAAAAACATTTTACGAATTGCATTATTGAATATTAGAAATGTCGTAATCGATTACATCACAAATAAAAAGCGAGGAGGTAAGGAGTGGGAGAGAAGAACGCCAAAAACAAAAATGCATGCGCGCCACAGAATTTTTTTTTTCGTTTTGGTATTTTTTTGTGTGTCTATAACTACAATTTGCGGCGTTTCTGACAACAAAAACAAATACCACATTTGGGGTGTCAGTGCCACCTTAATGCTGCAACCGGTTGTCCCCCTTCGAAAATACCGTTTCTCTTAAAAACACACCTACAGAATCGTTGTCTGCTGGAAAAAAAACTGGTTCCCAGTTTCCTACAGTTTCCTACAGGAGCGGGTTTCTGAGCTACTCTCTGCATAGAGGAGCAGAGTTTTACTCTTTCTTCAAAGGAAAGAAAGAATTGAGGGAGAGTTTTTTTTTTTTTCTCACAGCCCGCCGCTCTTTAAGCAATAATTTAATGTTGCCACTCAAAGTAACATTCATGTAATTAATTGAATGCTTCAGAACCCACATATTTTGAAGTGTGCTTCATACGAGTGAATAAGATACCCAAGCAAACGGCATCCTAAGCAACAAGGTTTGAATTCCAGTAAAATACCCAGCACCAATAACACCGGAAGAGGCCATGGCTCTTTCAAACAACGGTTTAATAATTGTCAGTGGGGCTTGTTTATCCCAGTAAGACGAAAGAACCCCCTCAATAACAAAGTCAGTTTCATCGAAAAATGACCGCATCTCCACGAGGTGAATGATGTTGATTGGGGCGAACCTCTGGTGGTGCTGATGATACTGATTTTGTTCATAGATAGTGCTGATGTATATATAGACGTTGAGTGGCTACATGCAAAGTTTCATCAACGAGTTACTACCACATCTCGGAGCCCCCTATTCGTCCTGCAGTCGTGGCCGAGGGGTTAAGGCGATGGACTAGAAATCCATTGGGGTCTCCTCGCACAGGTTCGAATCCTGTCGACTGCCCAAACATTTTTTCTTTTTATTTGAGCACAGACGCCGGCCGGACGGACGGACAAGGCTAGACCCTACGGAGCTTCGCCCCTAAAAAATCATTACTAGGTGAGCAATGTTCTTACAGTAACCCTTATATCAGTATCACTGCTTGACAGAACCTGTGTCTGCTATACTGGTACAGAATAGAGTCCCAATCATAAGGTAGTCACGACAGTTCCACGAAACACGGGAATGCATGCCTTTGTCCCACCTCCCTTTGACCCCCCAAGTAGGGTTGTGCGAATATTCGAAATTTCGAATAGTATTTCCGAATATTACACTATTCGATATTCACTTCGGAAAAAACTGCACTATTCGCGTTTTTCGAAGTGTTGAGTGCGGCGGGTTAGCCCCGTTGAGTGTGCTTCTTACCGAGCACCGGTGCGCTGCGGAGAAGCCAAACCTGTGAAAGTGAGCTTCCCGGGTGTTGCTTCTCTGCATTACATCGGTGCTCGGTAAGAAGCGCGCTTAACGGGGTAACCCGCCGCGATAAACAATATCGTAATTGCGTACTTGGAAGAAAAATATACATTCGAAGCGTGATGGTGCACCCGTGCCGACTGTATTTGAAAATAAATAGAAACTTTGTGAATGTGTCTATCTACATTGTAGTAAAAGTTTCAAAATTAAACTTTCATGCAAGAGTATACTATGTTAGGCAGAGATGCTTTCACAACCTGTGTTCATGTGAGATTCATTCTTTTTTAACTCGAGATTAAAGAAAGAATATTTTATATAGCAAGATTTGTAAACTCACTCAATTGGTATAGTTGGCTATTTCTATAGGATTCATTTTATGTCAAATCCGTCATTTACTTGTCATCCCAAGACATCAGACCTTCTGAGGTCACAGTTTATAAATATAGATAGATTAAACTTAGCTTATAAATGAACAAGTGGAATAACCTTCTCAGGTTTAGCTGGGTTTTCGTCTAAGCATTATGCAACAGTAGTAAATGGCGTGTAAAAACTATTCGATATTCGAATCGAAAATATTCGGCCAAAACAACTATTCGCTTCGAACTCAAAATCCACTATTCGCAGCACAAGACTACCCCCAAGGTCCCTCCAGGAAAGTCTGCCCCTGTGCACCTGTGCTTCCAGCTTGTCCTCGGTGAGGTTCATCATCTCGTCGTAGCTCATGTTGGCAAACAAGTAGGCGTACTTGTGCAGTCGCAGGCTCTTCAGCCACCCGGGGACATCTGCGCACCAGCCAGAGGAGAAGCAGGCCTCTTTGAAGCAACCTACGAGACGGGGTCCGCAAAGTGCGGGCACGGGACTCTGAGGCAAGGGGGCGGCTTCGGGAGCCACTCTCAATTCACCGGGGTACAGCCGAGACCGGTTATAATGAAGTCAACGGGAATCAGAAGTCACTTCGCTATATCCGCTATTTCATTATAATCGACTTCGTTATAACAGGTCGCGACAGTAAAACGCAACGGGCCTCGCGTACAGTTCCCACCTACTCTAAACGAAGCTATAGAGTTACAAGAACTCGTCGCGAGTCTTCGTCCGCAGAAAAAGAAGCACACTGAAGGTTTGGCGCGTTCGGTTCACCGTGACGCATTGGAGTTCTATTGCACATAAACTCCAGTTTTTTGTCGTACAAAGCACGAAGCTGGCGACCGCACACCGACTGCGCAAAGGATGTTTTTCCGCTTCTTCGGGTCTATTAAAACACCACCGGCAAGCTAGGCCTGCCCGGACAACTGACGTCTGCCTCCACCCGAAGCCGCCAGACAAGCTGCGCTCGAGACTAACGACGCTTCATCCACCTTGGTGCCTCAAACCATGGCGTCCGACCGTCTGAAGCTTTATTTGAAATGGCAAGAAGCACTTTTCCTTCCTCCAGAGACGCTAGAAACAGTCCGTGACATAACACAATGTTGGTCAAGCTTCCCCACACCATATCTGAAGGTGAGGAAGTTGCATTTTGGAATTGTAACTATCCCCTATTGCACCTGCTCTACACTAGGCATCGAAATGGCGGCTTCCACGAGATGGTTTGGGAACGGAGTGTCGACACTCTAAGCCAGGCGTCTCCGAATCGCCGGCCCACGAAGGCCTTCCGGCCGGCTGCAAATGGCCGCAGTCTTTTCGGCGACATCTAGCTCGCGACCCACTGCCATCAAAGCAGAAATGAGCGCGCATAAAAAAAAGTTACTGCGACACGCAACAAAAGCACAAACGAAGATATCAGAGAGAATGAGAGAAAACTGTGTCGAAGCGCGGGTTCTTTCGCCACATTAATTACTCTAAACTGTCATTGCTAGCATCCCCATTCATTGCCTCCCATTTCGTGTCTGTGTAACTATGTTAAAATTCTCTTGCACACTCGTATATCCTACTTACCGCCGAATTCACAAACCTCACTCAAACAGAAGGGCCCCTCCACTTCCTCGAGGAAGGCACGAGGGCCGGCACTGGCCAATCGCGACGGCGGATCCGTTATCGCGATTGGCCAGCGTTGGCACTCGCACCTTCCTCGAGGAAGTGGAGGGGCCCCTCTAATTGAAGTGAAGTTAGAGAATTCGGCGGTTAGAGTATTGTGTCATAACTATTGCATGTTGTCATCATTGGGCCTACCGTCCTCTTTAATCTTTTGCCCTGTGCGAATATACCAAAATCCCAATGCACTTTGATTTATGCTTGGCGAGTTTTCTGGGTCTATATAACTTTGTAAGTTATAATTAGCAACATACTAAATTTACAAATGAAGTATATGTATTAATACACCTCACATTTCTTTATTTCAATTGCTACTCTAGCTTAAATTTAATGATTTAGATGAGGGGTAGGCCAACCACGGCTCGCGAGCCGCATGTGGCTCTTCATGGGTCCAAGTGCAGCTTGCGGCTCCCTGATAAGAGTGCCCACCTTCTCCTCCTGTGCCCCAACACGAAAAGAGTTCTAGAACTAAAACAAAAAAAGCTCACAGTCTTGGCAGGCTTGTACTAGACAACATACATACAGCTGGGCAGCTTTTCGACACACAGATGTGTCCAGTGACCCCGTTTCTTTTATAGTTCTAGAGAGAATTTCAAACCGTATACAGTCACTGACCGATTTTTCGGACTTTGCAGGGACCGAAAAAATGACAAGCTAATTGAGCAGTCCAGAAAAATCAGCAGATTAAAAAAAACTTGCCTTTATTACGTCTAAGCAGGCTTAGAAAAGCCGTCAATAGTGCATTGCTTCAGGTTATGCCTCCGCTTGCATTTAGCCATTTTCTATGAGCTTGAGAAGCACTGCCTTTTTTTTAGCAGAATGGTAGAGTACTTTCCACGCTTCTTAGTGACACCTCTAGGCGGCGGAAGGACAGATGGAGCCACGACGTCCAAGCCAATGAAGTCAGAAAACATAATTCGCAGAGACGAGATGAGAGGTGCACGTCCACGACTGCAGAATGGCGAATGAACAAAGCAAAATGGTACCAAAGATGATGATAATGATGTGCAGCTAGAGAAAAAAAAAAAAATGACCACATCTCCACGTGGTGAATGATGTTGGTTTGGGCGAAGCTCTGGTGGTGCTTGTCTGCGTAGATGCTGAGCCGCAGCATGCCGAGCCTTTCGTTTGATTTCATCTATGTCAGGAAGAGAATGTGTGGTATGAAACGTGGTTATATACGCATTTGAGCATTTGACCGCAGCGCCATCTCGTCTATAAACGTTGAGCCGATGCATGCAAAGTGTAACGCGATTATATACGCATTTGACCGCAGCGCCCTCTCCTGTATAGACGTTGAGCGGCTACATGCAACGTTTCATCCATGACATCCCCAGCTCTTGAGTTACTACCACATCTCAGAGCCCCCTACTCGTCCTGCAGTCTTGGCCGAGTGGTTAAGGCGATAGACTAGAAATACATTGAGGTCTCCCTGCACAGGTTCAAATCCTGTCGACTGTGCAAACATTTTTTTTTTTTTTTCATCATTTTTTTTTTTTTTTTTTACGAGCACGTGAGCTCACGAGCACGATCACGAGCACGAGCACCAGCAAGATCGATGTGAGCACGGACGCCGGACGGACAAGGCTAGACCCTAAGGAGCTTCGCCCCTAAAAAGCAGGAGCATGGCATCACCTAGTGGTAGGACTTGGCAGTACTCAGGTAGTGCTGCTAAAACAAACCAATCCATGTGTAGCTAACACAGAATCTAAAATGGCGGCTTCTCGACAGCGTTTGCCGCTGATCGCTCGCAACAATATTGTACGAAAAATCAAACTTTTGGACTTCAAGCCATCCGAAACATCGGTCGTCGATATGCACTATTCCTATTGGGTTCCTCCTTTAGGTCCGAAATATCGAACAACTCCAAATTATTGGCACCCGAAAAATCGGACTGCGACTGTACGCATAACGGACATCAGCTAGCGAACCATTAATTCCTTTTTGATAAGCGGTTGAATAAATGTTATGCTGCCTGGTGTTATTTGTTATAATCAATGTTTCTTGTTAAAAGTAACCCCCCCCCCCACCTTTTTTTTTCTGCAGCTCTCAACTTTTGTAGTTTTGTGTGCGATTCTAACCCAATGTCACTCTGGCCACCCCTGATTTAGATGCTTATTTATGTTTACTTACCTAGTATTTCCTTATTTAGATTCACTCGTTTATTTTCTGGCCCTTGAGACTGCGACAGATCCCCAATCTGGTCCCTTAGCCAAAACGTTTGGAGACCGCTGCTTCAAGCAGTAGGTTCTTAACCTGGGTTCCTAGGAACCCGGGTGCTCATCAGGGTACACTCACGTGTTCTTCGAGCCCCGAAATTTCCTCAACTGTCCTTGCCACTAATTAAGCGTGTTTCTATTTTAGGCGGTATTGTAGCAGACCTGAGCTATCCATCGATGCATAATTATGAGCCAAACACTCCCCAGTACGTCGATGCGTAGCTCACTTAACGGCACTATCTCTGCTCTCGGTAGTTTCGCGACGGCCTAAAATTGTCGGAAGATGGTACCGTATTTACACGAATGTAGGTCGACCCTTTTTTCAATTTTTGAAAATCTGAAGTGGGTTGATCGACTTATACCGTATTTACTCGCAGAATGAACGCACTTTTTTTTCCGAAAAATCGATGCAAAGTTGAGGGGAACGTTCATTACGCCAAGTAAAATTTTTGCGTCCGTATTTACTTCCATAATGAACGAACCTTTTATCCTGAAAAATCGAACTTCTTATCTCTTTGCGCGGGGCGCCGACCCCGTAACCAAACTAAGCTGTGCAAAAAAAAAAATTTTTTTTCTTTATTTCTTTCTTTAGTTTTTTTTGTTTTTTTTGCCGCCTTTGGCAAGCTGTTTTGTTTGCTTAGGCGTTGCTTAGGTGAGGGCTCTCCCCTTATCTTTCTCATCTCCTTGCGCGCCGCGCGCGACGCACGACCCCCCCAAACAAACTGCGCTGTGCAAAAAAAAGAAAAAGCTCCTTTTTTTTTGTTTGTTTCTCAGTTCCTTGGGTTGCTATTGTTTGTTGTTTTTTTGCCGCCTTTCGCAAGCTGTTTCGTTCGCTTAGAGCGCTTCTCTTTCTTACCTCCTTGCGCGCGGCGGCGCGCGAACCCAAAATCCACACCGCGCTGTGCAAAAAAAAAAAAAGCTACTCTCCATGTTTTTTTTTTCTTGCTTCCCTTGGATCTTTGCGAATTTTTTTAACGCCTTTTGCAAGGCGTTTTTTCCCCCCGTTCTGCCCATGCATTCGCGACCTCGCTGTACCAGGATAGAAAAGCGCGTTCATTTCGCGCGCGTGGGGGGAGGCGGTCAAAATTTTGATTTGACGTCCGAGTTGGGGGTGCGCTTATTACGCGAGTGAAAAAAAAGTCAAAAATTTGAGAGCCGACTTGGGGGGTGCGTTCATTGTGCGAGTAAATACGGTAATCGAACCAAATCATTCCACCGGTGGCAAAAACGAAACAATCGCGATACCATGGACAGCTCGGCTTGTTACGAGTTCAGCCGGCTGTACCCCTAGCATTACACTGTTTTTGTGTGCTCTTTTTACAAATTAATTATTTTTTATTAGCGCGAACGAATATCATTGGTAGCGATTCACAAATTAACCCGAATGCACGGCGGTGCACAGAGCACGGAGCGCCCGACTCCCGGGGGGTGGCGGCACTTCTCGTAAGAGCCACTCCGGAGGCCGCTGGAACAGCCTCACGGCTCGCTTGGCTAAAGCCCCTCTACTTGGCTCGCTCAACCCGTGGCGCCGCGGCCTCTCTTCGCAGTTTTTCGCACGATTCACGGTCGCACATCGTTTGATCGAGTACGAGATCATGCTGGTACGCTAACTACTGTATGTTCATTTGTATTGAAACGCAAAAGATCCGGACAGTTTAGGTTTTCGGTGCTCGTTAATGGCCATTCTTCACTCAGAAGCAACCGACAACTGCGCTGTTGGACGCAAGTTCGACCCCGTCGGAGTGGGTGATGCTCCAGTGGAGTCTGCGCTGGCGCGGAATCTTAAAGTGTGACGGCAAACGAAGAAGCTTCCGCAGGCCGAAGTCTGGATAGGTGGGGATGCCTTCCGGAGTTGGAGGTCAGGCTTGCAACGTACGCCGCAAACGTGCACAATTGGTCCCTACTCGTGACGTCCAACGCGATCACCGAGCAAGCGCAGAAGATGCGGTTGATGCTGTCATTTGCGAAGTGCGAGATTTCATTGGGCGATGCCGACGATGTGCTTCGAGAACATAGCAGTGATGACGACGGGACTGACATCACCAGTGTGGACGAGTCGTAGTCTAGTCGTGGACGGAGTGAGAACGACAGTGATTCAGTTGTCCCGCCTCCAGCGTGAACTTCCTAGTTCCGACAACGCCTGGCCATCTCATGCACCTTGCACTTGCATGTGCAGCCAAAGCACGCCAGAAGGCATCGATCCCGTGTTGGAGGCTCGGCTTTCTTAACAGATACTTTGCCGTTCTTACGTGTTCGCAATAAAATGCTCATCTGAAATTTTTTTTTTTTTTTGCTGGTGTGCGATGTGGGGGGGTTGACTTACAATCGAGCCGACCTACAATCGTGTAAATACGGTAGATCCCTTCTTCCAAACATATCGTACAAACTCTAGGGCGTGACTCCGAGGTGACGAAGGCCCCAGGAAAAAGAGGGAGGGTGCCCCCAAACTGACCCCTCATGCCGGCGCCGTCCAGGCCAAAACTCGATCGGGGAGGGCCGTCCTCGGGCCCGTGTCCCTCGGACCCCGAGGAGGCCACGCTGCTCTGGGGCGACAGGGGTGGGGCCCCTGTGTTGCCGTCGGCGTCTCTGGGGGGTGGCGCACAGCGCCAGTCCCCCGCCGACAGGGGCTGCGGGGGGCCCGGAATCCGGCCGGGCCCAAACCCCTGCTGCTGCTGTTGTGACTGGTGCATTGGGTTTGTGGCTGAGCAAGGGGGCGTCAGGCTGCTGCTGCGCTTCAGCGTGGGCTGAGACAGCGGGGAACCTGCGGGGTAAAGGAAAAGAGAATTAATCGCCTCATGCTACGTATAAAGTTTGAATAACGTAGAATGCATACTTGAGGGGCTGTGATATTGATGCAAAATGTGTTTTATCGGCCGAATTTCACAAAAATGAGTAATGTTTTACTGTAACAAAAAACCAACACTGAACAGCGTTATGTCCAGTCCACGAGAGTAATACGAAGTAAATATGCGCCTCGTGGTCGCGTGCCTTGCGACCTTGAAAACGTTTGGCCGAATGAGGACGGTTCCTCGGGCTCCTGTCATGCAGTGCTCTCTGACGGCTGTATCAAAATTAACTGTTGGGCTAGTTGGCTACACACTGTATAAAAATTCAAAAGTGCGAACACCAAGGAAAAAAAGAGGGGACAGGACAGGAGTTGGAGTAAGCGCTCTGTCCTGTCCCCTCTTCTTTTCCTTGGTGTTTGCGCTTTTGAATTTTTATACTCTCTGACGGCGTTTGTCAGAAATGGGAGCGAAACTTCGACACACTTGCTCCGTGGTGAGGCAGTGCCGTTCAGACACTTCTTCCTTTTTCCACTGAGGCCATGGCTCCTACAAAGCAGACGGCCGCAAAATATATGCGAACTAATCGAAAATGCAAGAAGCGTTAGGAAGCAGCAGGAAGAACCTTCAGCAAGGACTTTGCAGACAAACGCCGATAAGTGTAAGGCCTTCCTTGTCAGCACAATCAAGCTCGTATAAATTTTTTCCCACTAAATTTAGCAGATAGCGGTCATGTGACAGGCGTTGAATAGTGTCTCGTTGCATCACCTACCTGGTGGGGTCATATGACACCCTGACGTCACTGAGTCATGTTACATGGTCAACTGTCAACTTGCCTGGTCAAATGGCACTGTGACATCAAGTTACATGGACAGTGACACTGTGAGGTCAAGTTGCGTGGTAACATGGCACTACGACGTCAATACACGTGGTCACATGACACTGTGAAGTCAAGTTACGCAGTCATGTGATGTAAAGTTATGCGGTCGAGCGACACCACCATGCGACGTGACGCCACAGGACCACATAACCAACGGAGGTACCAGCAACGTGATTTTTATACTTCTGCGTTATCAAGTTTTCGTTTAAACTTTTCACAATGTTCTAGGCCAGGGATCTCCAAACTTTTTGGCTAAGGGGACAGATTGGGCATCTGTCACAGTTCAAACTCACCAAGCCTAAATCAAGGCGCATGGAAACTTCGGCACATTCGTGCAGTGCGAAAGACTAAGGAGAATGATAAAACTAATGCTGACACAATGCATGTAAGAAAGCAAAGAAATTTTAACTTAGTTACGGGACTAAGAATAGTGATGCTACTGATCACACGAAAGAACTCCCGTTACAACGCAGTTTCTCATTCTCTCCACTATCCTCTTTTGCGAATATGGAGCGCGTCGAGGAGCCTTTTGTTTCTTTAGGCGCACATCTTTTTGTGTTGGTAGCTGAAAGCGAGCCGCGAGCCGGGCTTCTTTTGAAGTGCCGCGGCCAGCCGTGGGCAGGATCTGGTCTGCAGGCTGGAGTTTGGAGACCCCCCTTTTAGACTTTAAAACCAGCCCGCAAAAGCATTCCGATTTAAAAAAAGAAACAGTTTGGGGTAGGGTTTACGTCTAATCATTATACGTCACAATCTCTCCGCTGTGGTGTGTTCAACTAAGATTGGTGGCGCCTGTTAACACCCGCTTGCTCTGCCGGTGGCTAACTTCTGGTTAGCCCAGTTGGTAGAGCGCTCCGATAGTAACAGTATCATTACTATTATCAGTAGTAGTAGCGATGGTATAGCCAGCAAAGAGTGCGGTTAATTTAAGCGCAGAAAAACAAAATGACCCCAAACGGTTTTTCGGGCAGACCTAAAGCCGCAGTCGGACTGTTCGTACAAGATACTAAAGACGCCGTGTTTGTTGCAGACAAGATGACAAAATTATCTGCAGAAACACCTCAATCATGTTACAAGCGTGTTTGCTTCCAACAGTTCTGCAGACAGTTTTCTGCATGACCAACGTGACACAACCGTCATATACGAGAAAGAAACACGCTTCAGACAGCGTCTGCAGTCTGTCTTTCGTACAACGTATCAGCAACGACACCGTGGCTTCACCCTTTCAACACGGACCGACCCAACCTTTTTTGCCCTGCCCGGAGGCTCCCCCGCCCCGACTCACCGGTCCGGTCGACGGGCGAGAAAGGAGAGGAGGAGAGGACCGAGTTGGACGGGTGCAGGGCCATGTGGCTGGAGTCCAGGCCCGGGGGCAAGGAGCCCCCGGCCCCCCCCAGGGACAGGCCGAAGCCGTTCAGGTTGGGGCCGTAGTTGCCGTTGAGCGCCCCGAAACCCCCCTCCGTGTTCCATGAGTCCAGGGATCCCGGGCGGCCCCCCGCCCCGCCCCCTCCTCCACCGAGGGGGTCGACCAGCGAACCGTTCGGCGGGGTCGGGGCGTCTGGCATGGGAGCCACGTGATCTTGGTACCTGGGGGGAGTCGGGTTAATGTAATGACTTAGAGGGAAAGGTCCCGTGCATTTTGGCCACTTTGGAAAGTGGTGGTCCCGACGGGGCCGTATTGCTGTCGGCACTTCGAAGTGCGCAAAGAAGCAGAAAAACACAGCTTGCAAGGTCTGCGCCGAGTTTCTTCTAGCTTGGGTTTGCACAAAAACACCGGCATCGCGCACTGCATAAGACATATTAAAGCTGGTGAGAGCTCGAGAAACTTGAACTCGTTGCGGCAAAACGAATATGCCCACTCACCTATCGGCTGCTTTTTTTTCTTGTCAATCTTTTTCTAATTCTTTCTCTCTAAGCCATCGACTTCATCACTTACCACAAAATACTACAGAAGCACCCACTTTGTCCAAGCACCTGCTATTAACATTTCTCAAGCTTGGGAATTCTTCAAATTAAATGTTAAGCACCCATGACTAGGTCAATTAAGTTTTTAGGAAAAGTAGGGTATGCGCTCCCCCAGTATTTTACGGTACGATTTGCCCCTTTACACTCCTGTCTCTACCACCCTGCCTGGGGGCTCCAAAGAAATGAAGTCGTCTCATAGGGTCCGACAAAATTTATACTTCCGACTCGATTAATACATCTAGTTTTGAAATTACATTCTCACATGTTTGACGTCTAGAGTTATTCACCATTCCAGCGCAACTCTATGGCGCTTCACAAACAACCATATCTTCTTCATTTGCAGCAGTAGTCCTCCCTCATCTAGAAACCGATTGTGAAGCAATTTCATTTGCTGCCAATTTGTAGAACATTTCTTCGACGAATCATTTTCCTATCACTTTTACAGTCATTTCCTAACACACCACACAATTATTTTCTAAAACCTCTCAAGGGCCGAGGACACAATCTGTTTAAGATGAGGGACTGAGTGAGTTGGCTATTCATTCTTATTCAATGTGAATTGTTCTTGAGAGCTGTAAATTATAAATGCAATCTGTGTAACAAAAAAAAAAAAATGTTTATGTTAGAATTATGTTGCAAGACGGTAATGCCAGATTTACGGCACGAGATGGAATTAAAATGGAGCCGTCAATGAGGCATACAGGTCATCGCTCTTCCACACTTTTCTCTTCATGCTTCTTCCAGAGTGCGGAGAGTGAAGGCCACAGAGGAGAGGTATGCGATGAGCGTCCCTCTCCTCCGTGCTTTTTACAGTCAATGGGAGGCTCCCAAAATGACTTCTATTCTTATGTCACTGTCACGTTGACCTTCAAATGGACATTTTTGTCAGCCAGCGCTACAAAATATGAAGCTGAAATTGCTCCAAAATTAAGATGTGTCTAGCAACAGAAATACTGCATTATTTGATTTTCTTTTAAACAAAAGTGCAAGATGCGTTCTTCGTAAAGAATGTTAAAAGAGATGTTTCTTGGAGTGTAGCCAATACCACCTGGAAAACAACGCCTGCACCTTACCTTCTCTACGTCATTACTGCAAATGCTGCCTGGCTAGCGTCGGCATCTTACAAGAAATGCAATGCCGGCAAGCGACGACTGGAATAAGCATGCATCCGCTGCTCTGCGGCATACTCCCGGCAAAATTCAACGGGTTCGCCAGATCGGGAATTGGTTAACGGTAGCGTATTGTGCGCGCCTCGTATTCTAAAAGGTAGTGGTGCCAATGTTATTAGAACTATCTGTTAACAAGCTTGGCAGAAATGCATCGTTCGAAAATGGACCTTTTTTTTCGTTGCCCGCATGCTAACAGGTACGGGCAGATAGTGATCCTAGTGCCAACACTCCCATGGACGGGCGACAGAGAAGGACCGTTTTCGAACAAAGCTTTTTTTTGCACGAACCTTATGTCTGCAGCAAAAACGAAAGAAAGATCCATTGGTGGATCTTTAGGAAATGCATTAGCGTGACACTTAAAAAACACCACACACGTCCACTTTTGGAAAAAGCTGACAATGACCCCTTCACTTTTCTGTTTTGGCTTTCTCTTTTGCTTCCTCTATTTCTTACTGCCCCTTTTTCGCTTCGTTACAAAGTCAGTGTTAGCGTTTCCCAAAGGGGGTTGTTTGTGGCATTTCCCAAGGGTCATGCTAATGCATTCCCTAGGGATACACCAATAAATCTTCCTCTAATTTCATCCGGCGAAGCGGGCTCGCCCACCCAAGCCTCTGTCGCATGCAGACCCGCATCGGTTTGCTGCTTCTTGTGCCGCGTTTTGGCCTGCCGAGCGAGTCGCTGCTTCCACTCCTCGGTCTCGTTTGCCGGCCTAGCACGCTTAGCAGCAGCATCCGCTGCCTGACGCTGCTTTCACTGTTCAACGGTTTCCCGCACGCGCATTGGCTTCTGCCCCGAGACGTCGCTTCCCTCTCACCTTTGTCCTTCACTACTCTCTCCTCTCCACTACGTGGCCCACTTCCCTTTCGACTGCGTTGTCCCGAGACGGACGGCGTCAGCTTTTCACTCTCATGTAGGTACTAATGTGAGTGCAGTAAAATAAAAAAAAGGATCCTTTTCTACTGCAGGCAATCTGCACCCAACGTTCCACCGGTTCTGCCGGTTCTGTCTTTGTGGGCTGGACCGACGACAGCATAGCAAGCACCACCGAGCAGACGCGCCACAAATAGACCTTTCGCTAAATTACCCTAGCACCAAAGAGAATGCAGGGAACATAGGTACACGCACTGCATGCCCTCACTTCCCACGTATAAAACATTCAAAGCAACTAATCAAAATAAAGTGTCATGGAACACACGTGCCAAGTGACACTTCTTTCAGATTCTTGCATTTTTAAAAGTTACTGCTGGAAATGCCAGCGTGTGCGGCCCGTGTATCTACGTCCCTGGCATTCTCTTTGATGCTTGGGGTAAACCGGCAAAAAGTCCATTGGCACACCAAGCTTTCTAGGAAGCTCAGCAAAAGACTTGCGTCTAGGGTCCTTTAAAGGGCACACAGCCCGGGCCCACCTGGAGGCGGAGATGCGCTCCTCGAGGTGCCTGAGCCAGAGGGTGAGCAGGCGACGGTCGTCCCGGGAGCTGATGGCCGGGTGGATGAGGGAGTAGGAGAGCAGCTGGCGGGCCCCCTCCACCAGCAGTGGGGGCCGACAGTCCAGGGCGTGGGCTAGCACCTGGGGGATCAGGCTCAGGTAGGCCGCCTTGGCCTCCTGGTTCCCCGGGCTCAGCAGCGGCAATAGGCCCAGCAGCTGGCCCAGGGCCTGCTCCCTGGGTTCCCGGCTCAGCCGCTCAATGTAGGCTGCAACGGTGCACGGAAAGAAGAAAGCCACCGTCGAACTCGGACCCACAGGCCACTCCATCAGCTCCTGGCGCAGCAGCTGGACGCGGCTGTTCGACGCGTGCCTCAATGACAGACGGAGAGCGAGATAACCCCAAGCCGAGGTGCAGCGGAGGCCGTCTGCACCTCAAAACGTGCTCCTGCAGAGCGGGCGCTCGAGCTAGACGGGCAATTTTGCGTCGACAAACTGTCACTTACATCTGTCGGACGGTTCAGGATCCATCGCACCAGACCAATAGAAGAATGCAAACTTGCGCGCAATGTTTTAAAATATTCATTTTTCTCTCGGGCTCCTATTAGTTCCCTCGAACCCTCGAAAGTGGTGTTTTATGGCTGCACTTTACGATATATTTTCTTAAGAATGCTTTTTGTGCGTTTTAGAGCACGGCTCTTTAGGCACCCGTTTACGACTTGACCGGTGTCGCCGACAGCGTAACTGCGGCAATGTTTCGGCACCGTGCCGAAATGTTCGCCGGGGGGTCACGTGAGGTCAGGGAAGTCAGTGGTGTCACGTGACCTCAGCGGGGTCACGTGATCCCGGTGACGTCACGTGACCCCCGTGAGGTCACGTGACCCCAGTGATGTCACGTGACCCCTGTGATATCACGAGGGTCACGCGACGTCACGAGGGTCATGCGACCTCACGGTTAAGCAGACGCTGCTCGGAGGGAGGAGAAGCAGGCAGGATGAGGAGGAGTGGTATACCCTCCCCTTAATACCCTTCCCTCTCCTCGAGAGCTGCGCTCTAATTCGGCGTTACAGGAAATTGTAAACGGCTTTAATTTCCTTTTGTTTTTTTTACTTTAGCAATGTACTGTTCCCGACGCGGCCTTCAGTTAATAGCCGCGGTACTGCTAAAATGATTCAGTGTATCCCAATGGGTGTACCAAGCATTCAGTTGAAAGCAAATGGCACAGTAATGATTGCTTGTCACGCCTATCAGGGGACGGTGCCACAGGCAACTCCATCGTCTGCGTTGGAGCCTGTCGTCGAAAATGTTGGGGATGTTGTTTTAATTATTCCTAAAAACAAAATTTGCCTCGAAATTTTACGAGGTAATATTCACCAGCAAAATACTGACTAGACGAAGGTTTGAACTCTCTACGAGCAGACATCAATTTCTGTGGCTCATCTTACAGCCCCACCGTCATTTCAGTGTACAGGTACACCTAAATTTAGGGTGTACAAGTATTCCCTTCTTCACACCCACACATTTGCTTGGGAGCTAAGATACACCCTCCAACAGGGTTCATCATTACACTGCTTTCAGCACCTGCCTCACTCAAAGAGAACACACATACACCTCCTCTACTTGTGCTACCCTATGCACCTCTGGGCCTGTCCCCCCCTCTCCTCCCCCCTACAGAGAGTGGTGCCCGTACCGGGGTCGTTGGCATGGCGCTCCCGCTGGTGCAGCTCGGTGCAGTTGGCAAGGGAGCGGTCAAGCACCAGGGCCAGGAAGCGTGCCTGGGTGGGGCCCAGGCGGCGCAGAAGCGAGTACAGCCCCACCGTCTGCTCGCAGGGGTTCCATAGCTCGAACCATGACCCCATGGCCGCCACCTGGTCCCGGAACACCAGGCTCGACTTCATGCTGCCCGCCAGCCCCCCCAGCGGGGTCCTGCCCGCTGCTGCACACAACACGGGGAGAACAAGTGTAAGCGGGGCTGCACAAGTAGCTAGTAAAAAAAAAAAGAACCACCTGGCGTAGACATTCCATACAAGAAAGGTGTTCACTAATATTCTGTTCCTACTCTACTGCTGTAAAAAAAAAAAAAAAAAAAAAGTCAGATTTTAGGAGAGAGGAAGGTTTACGTGCCAAATCAACAAAGGGAACCTGGCATGTCCCAGTGGAGGACTGAGGTTTCATTTGGCCCATGTGGGGATCTATCGATGCGCAACCAAAATCTCGGTTACTCAGTCGCTTGTGTCGACTCCCTCCCACTGCCTCGCCCTGGTGTGACCAACACAATCAACCAAGGTCTGGGCAGGATCCCTATATAAGGCAGTCACATTAAAACGTAACTTCTGTACAATATTGCTGCATCTCCAGGAGAAGAATAGAACGACTTTGAGTACCAGGTTTAATCTTTCATTCATGTTTTCAAAGTTGCAATAAAAACTTAATTCGGTTAGAAAACAAATCTGTTGAGATTTAATTATGTGCATGAATGTCATTTTGCATGCAGACAGTATTATGCCACTACAAAATCAGCATGCAGATGATAAATATGATTTCTGAGACAAAAGTACAGCTGAACTAATTAAGGTAATTGCCAAGTTTTCATTACTGCCACATGCCCACTCCCTTGCAGGAACTAAAAAAAAAAAGATTATGATTTGTTTAAAGCTAATTTATTTTAAGTCAGCAACTTATTTACTAACCACTCTTAAACATCTGAAAGCCTACAGAGATGTGATAGATAATTGAAGAATGTGGCCTAAGAAATAAACCTATAGTAGAGCCTATGTCGTTTCAAAAGGAGATTTAGCAGAAATTTTATGACAATACAAAAATATTCCAACAAACGCCTCAATTAAAAAAAAAAAGTTAGAACTGATGATGCAAGTGTTTAATTCCAAAGTCCCCTCAACATTTTCAGAGTTCAGTTTTTATTTTAAATACCCGACTAGCGCACATGCACATCAATCCCGTTCTGAAGGAGTGCGTTTCCCAATTATAATAATTATCTTGAGGCCATTTCCCTTGAAACGGGTGGTTACGAAAACGGGCAAAAATAATAGTTACAGAAATGCCTACAGCCCACTTCCCCCAAGTACGCGGCAGCGCTGCGGGGAGGCGAAACGTCACGCAGGATTGCGGTGTTCGCTCTGTGAATGTCGCTTCTCTGGAGTGCAGCAGTGCACGACGAGAAGTGCACTCAACATAAATAACTCGCATAAACAGAAACAGACCAACGAAAAAAACAAAGCAACTTCCAAGTCATGCCAACGTTTGATACGAATGTTTAATGGAATACTACGATATTCGGATCGACAATCAAAAGTTACGAAAAAAGTCTTCATAGCCGCCGGGCAGTGCTATATCATGACGGATGAATCTGGACATTTAAATACATGTTTAATGAGGCGAACTTGTGCCTGCAAACTAAAACAGAATGTATCGAGCATCCTGCGTAGTCGATGGAAGGGTGACTCACTAGAAGCAGCGCGTTGCCTCTACTTTTACACACGCAGTACGGTCAAGAACATTCCGAACCAGAATAGTCTATAACATTCAAAAATAGTGAACCGGAGCTTCCAGATTACAGATTAATGAAATTGGCAGCGACCTTTATTTCCGAAGTCGCATAATGCATTAAATGCAGTATTGAAGGTGCAATTGTTCAAAATTGTTTAGACTTAGAGGGCAATCTGTCATTGTCAAGAAGAACCTTTATTTTTTATCAATTTCCCGACTATATTAAGCGGAGAAATTAGGTGCATAGGCCACGTGACATAAATTTCCCCGCTAAATTTAGCGGGGAAACTAAATTGGCCTATAGGTGGCTCTGGTTCACGTCATATCAATTTCCCCCGCGGGGAAGTGAATGGTTGTATATGTCATGTGACACCAATTTTCTTGCTAAATATAGCAGGTAAAGTAAATTAATGTATAAGTTACGTGACATAAAATTTTTTACTAAATTTAGCAGGGAAAGTGAATTGGTGTGTAGGTAGTGTGACAACAATTTTCCCACTAACGCAAGTGGGAAAATATAATTGGTGTATAAGTCATGGGTCATCAATTCCCCCGCCGACTTTGTCGGGGAAATTTAATTGATGCATTGATCATGTGACCTCAGGCCAGGCACGTAGTCACGGGGGGGGGGGGGGGGGGGCATAAGGCCCAGGCCCACCCCCCTCCCCCCCCGAAATTTTCCATTTTGCTGGGGCCTCGTCTCCCCCTCCCCCTCATACAGCATTTTGTCATGGGCGGGCCCCCCCGAAACAAAACCCTGGCTACGTGCCTGCCTCAGGCCACCTGACATCACTTAACGTCACGCAACTTAAACGCCAATTCAGTTTCCCCGTTGAATTTAGCAAAACATGCACAGACGGATGGACAAAACTTTGGAATTGGGGGATTCCATTAAAATGTGCTTTAAAAATAAAGATCCAGGCCCAGCGGAGTTTGAACTCTGTTCCTCCGCGTGGCAGCCGCGTATGTTGCCAATGTAATCATGCGCACGGCGATATTGTTTTGGTACAGAGAAAGTTGACAAAATTTTTGCCGTTATGTTGGCACGAATTCCCCACATTTTGGTGAAATGCATCAGAATGGAGCAGGGCCTTGGTGCAGCAACCGCAACCCCCCCCCCCCCCCCTACTAAAGATGAGAGCATTGCGCAACTTTCTGCAACTACATTACACAATGTAAAAAAAAAAAGTATAAAGCATTTTTCTCTTAGGCACAGTCATTACCATACTAGGCCATTATATTAAGAAAGGGCGATCGGTGGCTGAGTGGGCTAGCTAGCGCACGTCAGTTCGGAGCATGTGGAGCGAAAGCTCGAGCTGCAGAACCCAGGGATCCTGTGTTCAATCCCAACCCATGCCCGTTTCGATCTGAATGAGCATCACACCGGTGTGCGGTCGTGTATCACTACTTCGTGATGCACTTTAAAGACCCCAGGTTAGTGGTTGCACTGCACTGGCTAAATTTCTCATCTACAGCTGGGAGACAAGTCGCCCGTTGAGGCAGACTAAGTTCTAGGCTGTATAAACATACACACACCCCTATTTTATGTTAAGAAAACAGTTTCCGGAATAATGCAACTCCTTGATCAGGAGGACAGCCCAAGTAAGCGAGAGATACTACCAAAATTATACTCAACTATTCTGTGATACCTTGTCAAGGCAAGCATAGCTTCTACCGTGCTGCAGCCCTGCACTGCTGCGAGGGCACGTGGCTTCCTTCTTGCGTCTCATTCGCACGCACTCTCGCGCAAAAGAGTCACCAAACGAAGCCACGCGGCAGTGCAACCAGCTTTCCCAGCGTTGGAGCACCGCAGAACCCTTGGTAGTGCAGAGCGAAGAGGAACTTTTAGCGAATCTTTACCGTGTTCCGCGTGCCGCGCTACCGGAGCCTTTGAAGCACGCTTTTAAGCGCGTGGCCAGGTGATACCGTGATTGTAGGTGAGCACTTAAAAGCATGCTTCAAAGGCACCGGTAGTACAGTATGTGCGACACGGTAACGATTCACTAAAACTCCATATTAGCGTCAAGGTGTTTCTCCCACTCGTAATGTCACGACCAGGATTCGCCTCGCCGTGACGCCACCTGTGTAGGGTACAGTACATCTAAAAAGTGCTTGAATTAAAGTACAAAGCAAATTAGAGGTTATGTACTTCAAGTAGAAAGCACACCGGGCACAATGTGTTAAGTACTAGAAATAGAATGTACTTACAAAGTAAAGTACAAGTACTTTTTAACACTATTATCATGGTGCCATTCGCTATGCAATGTTTTTTTGTTTTTCTTATTTTCTTAACTGGTATGCATCGCCCAGATAATAGGGGGTGTATCTGTTATTTTCGGGAATGGAAAATGTTGGATAAAGTCAAGTGGCCACAAAGTAGTTGTTTTTGCTTTCGATGACAAACTACTTATCACAGTCAACTTATAAGGCACTTATTTGTATCGGTCTTATAGCAGCCATTTCTTCATTCAGAGGAATGATCGAATGACGTCTCAAAAAGCAACATCGCGTTTTCACGTGACAATACACCATTTTTTTGTTTTTGTTGCAGATCAGCCACTCTGCCACAATCACGGTGGCGCTTGCCATCTTATCTTTCCGCCTTCCCTTCACCTGTCTTCTATATAAAGCGCAAGCTGCACAGGAATAAACATTGTTGGTTACCAGTCACTATTGTCATGTTTCCTGCAGCATCGTAACAGTAGAGATTGACGAATTTTTATACTCGACCTTAGAAGTTGTGTACAGTACTGGGAAACCCAAGGACGCGAGCGCATGGTCCCTGGAAGAGGTTAATTCCACCGAGACCGAATTAGGGGAATGTACTTTGAAGTCGAGAGTTGTACTGTCCCTGGGAACTACCAAGAAAAAATATTTAAGTCAAGTACAAGTACATACTTGAACAATGTACTTCGAGTACAAGTTTTCTAAACCTACTTGAAGCAGTACTTTAAGTACAATGTACTTCCCAACACTGGATACCACGAGTTGTGACCCTGGCTACCTATGTCATCAGTTGCGAACAACATGTTTAATGGTGTGCATAAAAAGCATGCTTAAAACTTGGAGTGAACGCATTCTTAAACAAACCATGTCAAAGTTGAATCTAAAATTGCTCTAACTTAACTGTCAATGAAAGCACAATTAATCCGTTCCATGACGTTACGGCAAGTGTTTGGCCAATCGCAGAAAGCTGACCGCGGCGAAGCTTTTGATCACGCACGACGCCAATATTCCTTACACCAGTTACTGCTCCGCAAAAGCAGCCTTGCCTGTTAAACAAACAAAAATAAATAAATAAATAAAAAGAAACGATCAGAGAGGGGAAAAGATTCAGATCAGTGATATCCATAAGGTCCAAGTTCCGGCTGGCCTCACAATGTGTCACGCGATCCCATCCATCTGGAGAATTTCAAAAGAGCTTGCGAG